TGCAACAGAGAGCCAGGGTGCTCACAACCCCACCCTCCCTCTCACTACTTGCGACCATAACACCTGGGGAGCACTTCCACCCAAAGGCAGCAAACAAGCGGTGGCCCAAAGGAACAAAAAAAGACTATGCAAACTGTTTAATGTCTCCTGCACATGCAGGCTTCTCACATGTGTCCATAACTTTATGACCCAGTTAAGATGCTATGCGCTCCTTAGCAGTATTCTGAATGCAGTATTCTGAACCTGTGGAGGGGTTCTTATAGGCTAAGAGAAGAGGAGAAGGGAACAATGCAGAGGCTGGGTTCTTAAAGATCCAGCGCACAATTAATTCACTGAGTCTGAATACCACACACACCGTCAGGGTGTACTAAGTCAGGGTGGTCCAGCATGTGGCCCATGGGTCGCGTGCAGCCACCGGGGCCTTGTTCTGTGGCTCTATTGCCAATTGGAGCCCCCCCTCCCTCCGCCTCATTCCCTCCCAGTCCAGATCCCAGTGATGGCATGGGCAAGCTTTTCTGAGGCTACTGTCCAGTCTCATTCTCTTCCTGAAGCTCAGGAAAAGAGCAGGTTGGGCTGGTGGCCTTGCAAGAGCTGATGAGGGCAATGGCACTTAGGAGGTGATGCCTTTGAGCTTGTCAGTAGGGGTGCGTGTGGCATGCTGGGTAATGTTGCTGGCTCAAGTACAAGATGCTCAGCACCCCAATTCCAAGAAGGTGGACCGGGGGTGGGAGAGTCTGAGTGGGAGAAACAGGGAAGAAAGGAATGGGCCACCCCAGAGGGCAGCTCTCTTCTAGTTCATCAAAATACACACTGATCCTGTGTAAAGGAGGATACCCAGCCAACTGGTATCAAGGCTGCTCCAAAACATTTTTCTGTCTGTGGTGGAGATGCTCTGAACTCCCTTACCCCCACATAAGTCAAGTACTACTCAAAGAACTACTTATTTTTGCCCGAGGCAGAAAAACCCACAGATAACACTTCTTTCCATGCCTGGAAGTAAAAATACAATACTAAAACATTAAACTTACTAATGGCTGGTGGCCCTTTCATGACATCTTCAAGCTAGGCTGTTATCGCTCTGCGTAATGGCAGGGCTGGCCCTGGGAAATTATATCCATTTGTCTTTTTCTATTTCCCTTTTTTCAAACTGACATTAGGAAAACACTTCCTCTCTTTTTGCATGTGGGGATATGCATCTCTAAAGAGTTCTGCTTTCCCTTTCCCTAGCTATCTTTCACCATTTTAGCCAGAATTCCTCTTAAATCCAGTGATCCCATCCTTATTTGCTGATTGCTTATCATAGAACTACATTCCTTTAACCATCCATAACACATCTGGCTTAAGCTGTCAACAATAAAAACGACTTCATCTTAGTTTCCTTCCACAACCACTGATCTTGAAAATGACCACCACAAATGTGGTGATTATCTGGGATGATCCTAATCCCTAATTGCTTTGACTAGGCTTTTTCTTTCTCCTGAGAATTCTGACCCATGCTGCTTTGAGTGTTAGCAGCTTCATCTACTGAGGTGAGAAGTGCCTCAGAAACAACCTACTCTGCATGATCAGGAAACCTGGGGATCTTGCTCCTGCTCTCCTGCTTCCACAATGCAGCCAGCATGAATTAGTGGCAAGAACAGGTGGGCAAGAATGCACCTCTTTTCAGCTTCTTGGCTGTTTAGATCTTGGTCCTCCTCAGTAACACCTTTATTCTGTGACCAAAAACTTTAGCATTGGAGTGGCAACTATCTTGAGCCCAGTTTTCAGTTTTGGAAGGGTTCTGGGATTCTGGGAGTGGGCTGCACAAAGGGTGTAGCCAAAGACAAATGTGATTCTTTACCAAGTTGAATATCTTAATGGATTCTTTGATTTGTTACCCTGCTTTTCTAAATAAAAGACAAAGATGCTCGAGGCAGCCTGATATTTTCCCACCAAGCATACAAAATAAGTCCAGGTCTAAGCCAGTCTACTCAGGGATAAGATCTAGTGCTACAGTTTTCAGAGTGTGGTGCAGTTCTAAGTGTATTGATCCAACAGCAAGCCCAGTGAAAGTAACCAACTTTATGCAGCATGTTTGAAATATCCTTGTTCTTAAATGCCTTGTTCTCCCTAGTCACTGACTGGAGATAACAGCAGAAGCAGCCTGTGGGCTGGATGGGGCAACCTGGGGGCCATGTTTGGCCTACGGGACAGATGTTCCCTATCCTTGTGTTAGCATATAATCCCAAAAGTCGTTGGTTGCAGGTTTATGGGATGCTTCCAGACTGATAACTGCTAGTGCTAACAATTCAAAGGCACAGTGTGCCAATTCTATCTTTTCCCCTTAATGGAAAAAGTGATGGGAAAACATGGGAGGGTTAAATGAAAGACATCATTGTCTGGAACCACTCCCAGTCAAACCCCAAGTTTTGTGCTCGAGGCAGGGTGTTTTCAAGATAAAAGTCTCTTCTGGAAGCATCCAGAGTCTGCAAATTGTCATCACCTAATCCTGTACAAGTTTATTCAGAAAAAAATCTGATTTATTGTCAACGGCTTCAGTTGTGCTGGTTACAAAAGAGTGGAACCTATGGCATAAATTTTGCTGTAGACTAGCAAGTCATAACTAGTTTAAAACAGTCATGGAGTTCAAACTTTTATTTATTAAACTGGAAATTTAATAAACATTTTGATAATCACTTCAATGTGTTCATATATTGAGAATATGAACACTTATATGTTGGTAATATGTAAAAGGTAGATGATTAATTTTTTAAAAATGCTTAAGGCTGCAATGCTGTTTGTACTTGGAAAAAGTTGTTTTTGTGCTCAATGGCACTTGCATCAGAGCTGATGCATATAGGATTGCACTATTAATTAGCCTTGAACCTTAATCTAGAAAAATGTAAGTTGAACAACAGCAAAGTGTATCAAGTAAATTAGCTATTCTGATAAGGTGAATAATAAAAATATAAAAATAGCATATTGTATTAGGAAGTAGGCAGCTACATCCTTTATCTCATGGCCATCAAGTAGCAAATGATGCAACCTTTGACCAGCAAGAGCTAGGATTACTGCTGCCCCTGCTTACTCAAATTAGAATTCAATGATCTCCACCGTTTTTTATCCACTGGCCCAATTATACATAGAAGGCCATATTCAGTGTGAAAGTGGAGGGAAAGCTAGCTTCGTACATGTTAGAATGTGAAAGTTATTTTCTGCCAATCTTTCTGCTACACACAGCCTGTGCCACATCATGATTTTGACAATGTTACATAATATACTTTTATATATCTCAGAACGTTTTCTGTATTTTTCTGGTGTACGTTCCCCTCTTCTCTATGTCAATCAACACAAGAAAACTTGATATAGAAAACAATTAATTAATTGACAAGGGGAAAAATACCCATATTTCATAAAAGAATATAAATATGTTTGTGCAAACTCTTAATTTGTAAGCTGCCCCGAGGCTTCGGCGATGGGTGCGGCATAAAAATGTTACACATAAATAAATAAATAAATAAATAAATAAAGACCCATTATAAGCATACACACCTCACAGCATCCTGACAAAAGAAATTACTGGTCTTGCTTGAAAAGACCACACACCAATGTGGGCCAATAGTTCTCAGAAAAATCTTTATCTGAGTCAGTGTGCATCATTTCAGACTTATTTGTGGATCTCATCTTCCCTGATGCTATTTTCTTTCTCTTCTATTATTTAAATCCAACTACGTAGACCAAACTTTGGGATCATATAATGAATATATGATAGCCTGACCCCATACATAGCTCATCGAGTTTGGTCTATGTCACCGAAAACAAACAAGGCCAGTTATTATTTTCCTCACCCAGAATGGGCAATGGGGAGCAAATGTACTCCTGTTGCCAAAGGAATGCCTGACCAGGTTGTTTTAGAAATGGGGCCAATTCTTTTATTATCAGCTCTGAGATCCACTTAGAATGAGAACTGTGTTTCACAGTGCACAAGCACAGTGCCCCCTTTTACAGGATCTCCTGACAAATAAATGAAAGAACATGCACTACTCCTGAGCTCTGATGTGTAATACCTCCTTTCATCTCAGTTTTACTATCATAGTGGGATCAGAAATAATGGAGAACAGAAGATGACACGTAACTAGAGTTTTTCCAATGAAATCACTTTGTGAAGGGTTCTCCTGAGCATGGCATTATGTTCCTGGACTAGTCATACTTAGGCTGCAGTCAGAACATGCTTGAAAATGGTTCCCCAACAATCACTTCTTCTCTAAGAGAAGAAGAACCCAGAACCTGGAGACTCAAACCTTGATATAGACTAATTCAAAAAGCATGATAACCCTGATATTTCAACAACATCGCCTGGTTCTGTGGCAGTCTCTACTCAATCCAGCCTCAGTCCTTGACTTTGGTTTACCATGGTATCTGAGCATAGTCACTGTGTATTACGAAACACCTCAAACAGCACCATCAGATCATGAAGTCAGCACGCCATGCTATAAACATGTCACTTAGTTTCAGCACCAGCTCAGAAGTGGAAAAAATCAGGCAGGTTTTTGATTCTGAATCACCAAAACCACTTCCTATTACAGTAGATATTAGGCAGAGATACATCATGCATTGACCCAGTCTGTTTATAGGAAATCTATTAATATCTCAGCACAAGGCTCTGCATTTATAGAAATCTAAGTCAACAAACATCCTCCCCACCAAACCCTGAGACACCCAAGCTAAACTGAAATTCTAACACAGAACCATTGCTATAGTTTCAATTTAAAGTAGACCACCTACAAAGTTTGTAAGTAATACGCCAACACTGGGTTTAGGGGAGTACTCATCATGTACCTTTAATTCATTGTCTCCTATTTCTGCTGTTGCCAGTACATCTTCCAGTTTTGCCATACAGAATGAGGGTGTGAGGAAGGATGTCATTCAAGAGCTTCCTTGCACAAATGTCTTTCAGATTAGTACATTCAGAAGCCCATATTAATATATTTTAATAAAGAGAAAAGCTATATAACTCTTACCTGATTGTATACAAGCAGGAGTTTTACAAACACCATCTGAAAAAAAAGAAATGGTAGGATATGTTTACATGGTTAATTATTTTGCAGAGTACATCTACATCTTGATGTTTAAAATGCTGAAATTCAATGATAGTACATTTCAAGTTAATATACAGGATTATATAAATGTACACACATAAACACCACCAGTGTGGCACGGTGGTTGAGGTCTTGGCCTGGGAGATCTGTGCTGGAGTCCCTACTCTGCTCAATGGGTGACTTTAGGCTAGTCCTTCATTTTTAGCCCAGCCCATCTCACAGAGTTGTTATGGGGATAAAATGGACTGGAGAAGGACCCTGTATGCCACCTTGGGATCCATGCAAGAGGGAAAAAGTGAGCTATAAACATAATGCAATAACAATGACAATGACAAACAATAACAATAACGGCAACAGCAACAGCAACAACAATAACAGTAAGGTATGCTATGGTATGGTACCATATGGTATGAAGAGATATCTTTCTCTTACTCTCTCTTTTAAAATACTAGAACTCATGATTATCCAATGAAACAGAATGGTGAGCAATTAATGGCAAATAAAAGGAAGTACTTCTTCACACAGCACAGAGTGAGACTAAGGGATTCACTTCCATAGGGTGGTCATTAACTTGAACGGCTTTACAGGGGAATGACAGAGATTCCTGGAGGAAAAGGCAGTCACTGTATATATATGTTACTTTACCATTAACAATGAAACACAAAATGCCTAAACACCAAGTCCTAAGAAATAGGGAGTTCAAGGGTGCTCTTGCTATCATGTCCTGCTTGTGGTCCACCAGATGGGCATCTAGTTGGCCACTGTGGGAGGTGAATGCTAGCTTAGTTAAGCCTTTGGTCTGATCCAGCATGGCTCTTCTTTTGCTCTTAAGTTCACATAATCTAGATATATTCTTACTAAATATTGGAGGGTTAGTCTGTCTAGACTACTGTGGTAAGGGGAAGTAGTGAGAGGAGAAGCCCCAGGAATAGGTAAAACATGAACCAGGAAAAAGAGCATTCAGTGATGGAAGAAAATGCCTTACCAGGTAGTAAGGAAATGCTTAACATTTTCTTCAACCTGGATATACCCATGAAAAGAAAACTACAGGAGGAAAAGGGGAAAGTAAGTTCAGAAGAAGAGCAACTACAGCTTGGAGACATGGGTGAGGAAAAAACCTTTAGTTACTTCTTGTCCCATGGGTAATCCATTAAGAAGTTAGTGAGTGGGCTAAAGACTGTATAACTGACACCCGAAAGGAAAGCCCAAACAGCCAGGAGGGGCTAGGGGAGAAAAAGAGGGAAAAACATAGTGGTGAAGTATTCTACTTTATGGTTCTCTGTTACACTAAGCTGGCCAAGGTCAGTTCTCTATTCAAAGGTGCCCTCTGTATGAAGAGCTCTAATTCTGACTTAAAATCAAAGAACCACAAGAAGGGAGAGGAAAAGACTTCAGGTTGTCCATCAACCATTAGCACCTGGATGGAAGACTGAACAGGTACATAGATCATCTACTCAGTCATCTCTAGTAAGTTTAGATAATTGTATTTCTAATAAAATTATACTTATTAGTTCTAAATGTTATGCTAATAGGTTTCTTATTTTTGGTGATGCATTTCCTGGTTTTTTGTTTGGTTGGTTGGTTTTGGTGATCAATCCTACTTTGAAACCGTGCTCTATTGAAATGTCTGGTAAGATGAGTAGTAGGCCTGGAGTGGGTTTCTTGCTGCCAACATGAATGGGCTAGCTTAGCTTGAAGAAAGTTCATGAGATAAAGAGCTTTGGCTGAACTTAGATACACAGTTCAGATCACAATGCATAATGGATTGTCAGAGCAGCCCATTGCAAAGCATCAAGAGGACCCCTTTCTATAACTTTCCTTTGAAGGACAACGTGATTGGAAGTTTCATTTGAACTTCATGGAATTGTGTCCAGAAGTCCTTTGCCCAGAAGCAGAAATCACCTCAAGTATGGTCACCATCTACACTGAGACAAAGAGCTACCAAGAAAAATTGTTTGTGTGCATATGTGTGCTTTTGGAATTGTTTCTTGATCTCAAAGTGTTCTCCCCCCCCCCCCCACTCCCCTTGGATGGATTGTTCTGAAAATATCTCTACAGAAGAAAGTCTGGGATGTTGAGACTTGGGTTTGCATGGGTTTGTAAGTGCTGAGATTTTGCTCTGGAACTCTGTCTTTTGGGATCACAAGGACAAAAGTTTGATGACTGATTGTGTTGCAGTAGCACAAGTAATTTACAAGATAAAGGAACAGAAACTTTCATAGAGTAATACCTATTTCTGGTGTCACAAAGTGAAACTATTTTTTTTCCCTTTACTTCATATTCTTAAAAATAGCTTAGTTATAGTAAATGGTTAGGACTGTGAAAAATTCTAGCTTTTGTTAGGGCACTCAAAAAAGAGAGAAAAATGTGAAGGAATCCTGATGCTACTATAATTTATGTCTTAAAAAGTGAGTTGTGAATAGAAACTACAAAAAGGGAATAATTTGTATTTTGGTGAAAGGAGAAGTTACCAGGTAACTTGGCATTTTCAGTTCAACAATTATTTTCACTGGTCATGTAACATAATTTTAACCAGTTCTTTTGTGCCTTTCATAGGATCTTTTCTTTTAAGTTCAGGAGAATTAGTTATATTATGCATGAGTGGACAAACAGTAGATCTCCGGTTTCTCTGAACTTCAATTTCCAGCCTTCCTGTCTGCTGGCCACTGAGTCAAGGAATTTTGAGAGCTGGAAGCCCAAAACATCAGAAGATATGCTTTCTCCCTATCACTCTATGCTATAGAGCCTCTGAAGTTTGAACAGGAAAGGGTAACTGGGCCAGAATGGCTGCAAATATTCCTTAATAGCCTGAGGCAAATTTGCCAGACAAAACGCTTAGGAGATGGTTGGAAAATATGACCCTTACTTATTCCCCCACCCATTCCAGCCAGAGGGAGGAGGCATGTTAGGAGTGATTGGAAAAGCAGCAGAAACATTTTATAAGACAGACTCCAGTTTTCCAGTGCAATATGAAGAGAGAAGGAGAGAGCAAGCTCTGGGCACTTCCCATTTCTAGAAATCTCATCTCTGGGTAATTGAATTTGCTATTGGTGAATTTAAGACAGACTTCTCTGGTCCGAAGTCCTTCCAATATGCATTCATCTATTCATCCATCCATTCATTATATTTATATCCTGCCTTTTTTTCCTTTCAAGGAACTGAGCCAGTTTACATAATTCTCTTTGGTTTTTTTTCCAATCTTATCCTCACAACAATAATCCTGTGAGGTAGGTTTGGCTGAGAGTCTGTGACTGGCCCCACGTCACCCAGTGAGTTTCATGGCTAAGTGGAGACTAGAATCCAGATGTCTGGAGTCTCAATCCTGTACTCTTCACCACTATACCACACTGGCTGATATTTTGAACTTGAATGCCATCAGCTACAGCCAGCATGGCCAATAGTCAGAAATACTTGAAACTGTAGTGCAAATCATCTGGAAAGTGCCAAATTGGGACACAGAAGTTTACCATGGGGAAATGTGGTTTTATCAAATTTCTAAATAAATGTTACTATTCCAAACTGCCAATAAGCCTCCAGTAACCTATTTCCAAAAGAAACCAAACCAGGGTAAGCATTTTGCCCTACAGGAACAAGTGAAGTGATCGTAACCATTATCAGCAAATAATTTTTTACATTCTAATTGACAATGAGATGCTAATAAGAGAAGCTATTCTCAAACAGAGGTCTATCAGTCAAAGAGTTTTATGCATGCAATAATTGCAAAAGCACAATGCGGCTTTTTTAGCACATTAAAACCAAGTGGCTTCAAGAGAAATGTGGGACTACTTTCTGGTTTAACAGCTGAAATTTCAACAATGGCCCAGCTACCAAAATCAGATGTACTACAACATTTTACCATAGTAGTATAATTAAGTCTTTTTTCAGAGTGATTATATTACATGCCAGTATTTTTGCTCTCCCTTTGAGCTTCATGTTCTTAAAAAAAACTTTTGCTGCTAAAATTATGGCTTAACAAAGTTCTACTTACCATCATAGGTTGCATACAGAACGATCATGGTGATAGCCACAATAGCAAGGAGAATTGCTACAACAGTAAGTCCTATTTCCAGTGGACTCCATCGTAGTTTTTTCTTTTGTTTTGGAGAGTTCATTTCAGTTATATCCATCTGACTTTCTGACTTGCCCATAACCTAGAGTCTGGAAAGAAAAGAATACAAAGCAGGATTGCTGAAATTGTAAAAGAATGGAAATTCTTAAGTTCCTCCTACCTAGCAATTTTTCTCTCTCTCAATGGGGAAGAGGAAATACTGGTGTGTGTTTGTAAAAAAGAAAAGACAAATGCCATTAGTCATAACAGTAAATTGATATAACTATCTTTCTACTTACACTCCACAGAGCAATGCTCTTCCTATGCACTTGCAGAAGGTTTGAAAAAAGGAACGAAAACAAACCAAGAACCTGGTTTTATTTGTAACGCATATTAATTGCACTCCTGCAGTAGAAGAGTTCAGAAGCAGGTGAAATGCAGCCCTTACTGTTTGAATAAAGATTAACTTAACCTTTCAATCTTTGATCTCTTGCCATTGGACAATTATTTTGCCTCCCTTGCACTTTTGAAATTATTTCAGCAATTAATGACCAAAGTCTTGAGTTTATGATTCTAATATTACACAAGAAGGGGTGGGAGAAAAGAAGTTCACACTGAACCCCAGAGTCATAGAAAATGGGCCAGGACTTACAGGTGAAACCGGTGCCAGAAACCAGTGCTAAGGAAAGAGAAGAAGGCGACTGACTTGGAATAAGGCTGGTTTGTAGGTTGCCTCCCTGCCGCCACCCGCCCGGCTGCTCAGAGTCTCTCATTTGCTGCCTCCCCTGCAAATTCTAATCAAACAACTTTAAAACACTTTGAAAATGACAAACGTGGATGGAAAAATAAGGAGAAAAAAATAAAAGCAATAAAAGCACTGTCAGAAACTTCACCATCAATTAATTGCAAAAATGAAATGTTTGGGTGATAAGGCATCCCTCATCCACAGCCACCCAGTGACTGATCTCACTCAGTTAAATATATCAAAGTATCAGAGATAGTAGCAATAATATTCTCTCTCTCTCTCTCTCTCTCTCTCTCTCTCTCTCTCTCTCTCTCTC